GCCTGAACGGCGAGGAGCTGCCTGAACGGCGAGGAGCTGCCTGAACGGCGAGGAGCTGCCTGAACGGCGAGGAGCTGCCTGAACGGCGAGGAGCTTTCGTGCGGCCTTCTGTTCTTTTGAAGGTTTTAGTTTCGTGTCCAGGTGAAGACTCGAGAACAAAGCCGACTGTGTTTTAATCAGAGCTGTTAATCAAACATGCTGCCATCTCTGAAATGTTACCAAACCTGAGTGTGTGTGGACTTCCTTGTTTTGGTGTCTCTGCCTTCAGTCTGCTTATTTCCTTGTCGCTCCCAGTCCTCTGGTTCTGACCCGGTTCGCTTCTCACACTGCCTGTTCTGGCTTGGTTCTGCTTGGTTCTGCTTCTCTGTCACTTCCATCTGTTACTCCTCAAAGTATTTTACGTACGACCAAAATGAGGACAGACAACGATCGGTTTCAGTGATTCAGGTACCCAGACTCCATCCAAACACCTGCCAAGCTGATGCCGCCTTGCGAGCGTGCGCTTGTGTGCACGCGGAAGATTTGAACTTGCACCTGTTCCGACAGCGCACGCACCGCTCGGTAATCGGCGTGCACGATATCCACCAACCACTGTTGGTAATTCCCTTAGAACCAGACTCCTCTTAAATCCTATCAATTTCGTGCAGCACAACAGAAGGACACTGCGGGGCAGATGAGTTTAAATCAAGTGAAGAAGAGCGAGGCTTTATGGGAATAAGGACTCTGCAGGTGAAATACATTGAGCCGAATTTACTGACAGACTGGTCCGTTTGTGGAACCGTCACAAGTTCCTGCCTCCTGAGTGTATGTTTTCAGGTACGGCCAAAAATCCTCAAACTGCACTGTTTTTCTGGGGAGTTTGGTACGGTAGCCAATAGCCTGCTAGCGTGTAGCATCAGAGGTCACTGACAGAGTTGTTAAGACACAAAAACAGGTGCTGAGTTTACCTGGAAATTACTCGGGAGTTGTTTTTCTTTTCCTCCTCCGTTCCGGCTCCGAAACGCGAAACTAAATCCTTTCGTATAAAACAGAATAGGAGAAGAGAAAGAAGAAGAAAGTCGTCCCTCTCCGTAACTTCTCTGCACCGTCTGCCTGCGCCGCTTCCGCAGGCTGCGTCATCACGGTTTTACGTAGCGCAGGGGAGGAGCTTAGAAGAGGCAGGACAACAACACAGTGGACCAATCAGAGGGGGAGTTCTGGGTTCAGGGGCGGAGCTTTAGTGGGGCCACGTACGCAGCGTTTGAGGTGCTGTGATCATGTGATCCCCTGAATGCCCCATGTGATGAGAAGCTGAAAAACAGAATTAGAAATGATGCCGGGTGTGTTTTACTCCCTCATCAAGAAGACAAATAACAATAATGATTAAAATTATTAAAATTCTGGCCCAAAACTCTGGCAACATGTACCTATACTGTCCAAAACCTGCATATCGACAAAAGTGTCACAAACTTGGATATTAAGAGACAAAAGCAATAAAATCTGGGATATTCATGCACAAGAGTATATAAAAATATTTCAAAACATCATTAGAAGGTTTTCTGTAAGCTGCCAATCAAAAGCAGTAGCACAGTGATCAATAACTGCAGCAGCCAAGTAGTTTTATGTCATGAACTGATCCAGAACCAGCAGTGCCGGTGGCCTCCATCACTCCGCTGCTTCTATCAGCAGGTGTTCAGCTGAACTGCCTCTGTGATGTTTCCATGTGAAGATGTTCCATTAACACAGCTCATGCAAAAGGAGGAATCAGCACAGTTGGCAGTCCGAAGTCTCAGCATGGTTCTTATCTCCTTTTCTCTGCACAGATTACTGAACCAACACTCACACATCGTCCGACTCCATCGACCTCCCCACAAGGAAACGTTCAGTTCTGTTCATGGTTAATCTTCAGGAGCCAGATCTGTGAAAAAAGTAGAAGCAGCAACACCTCAGTGAAAAACACTGAACAACAAGTGACATAAGTAAATGTACAGAAGTGTTCTCAAAGTATAAGACACAAAAGGCTGCAGAATCCTCGGATTCTATGAAAACACATTGCTCTGGTGTTTTATTACCATTTCTGAAATGTTCCATCAATTACTGCTGTCGCAAACTGTCAACTTTGATCCTGAATTTTGTATTTTTTTTACATCATATTATATACAGTTCATTTATCATGTTTTATGTTTTTCTTTCCGTTGCTGTTTTACTGCTTATTTTATTTAAATCTCACAGTTTTTCCAGCTGCAAGCAGGATTTACTGAACTCTGTTCAAACACAAACGAAACAAACTGACAAATGTGAGTTAGACTGAACAAGAACTAACCTAGACAAGAGTCATGGATCACCACCCTTCTGCACAACTCCTTCAGGTTTGGCTCTGTGTGTACACAGCATTTGTAAATGAAGCCCAGTTCTGCTTCTGTCTGGGTCTGAGGGTCTGGTGGAGTCTGGGTCAGATGGTTTTGGTCCAGTCTAGGTCATATGCTTTCAAGTCAGTCTGGGTCAGATGGTTTGGTCCAGTCTGGGCATGTGGTCTGTTTCAATGTGGATCATATATCTTGTCCAGTCTGGCTCAGATATTTAGCCCAATCTGGGTCAGAGGCCTGGTTCATTCTTAGTTAGATAAGATAGATAAGATAGAACCCAAGAAACATAAAAAGACAATGGGGGGGGGGGCACAGTGTGGGATTAGGAAAAAAAAACACCTCAGCACATCAGCA